TCTCTTCTCATGAAACATGTTTTAGTTTTTTATTGAAATTCTTTCATCAAGTATTTATTAGTATTGAAATGAGTTTTTCTGTGTTATGCTTCTCACAATTATAATTGCCTTCATATAACATTATATAATTTGAATTCTTTAATGGATTATCTAAAACCATCTCATGACTTTTTATTTTATTTATTTCACAAAACATGGGGTATTATATTGACTCTAGATATTACAATAACTTGTATATTTGGTGCTCTTATTAATACTGAAATAAATCCCCTTACTAATTTCATAAATATTGTTTGATTAGTCCATTACATTTCAAAGATTTATGGCAATGCAAGAAAAATTAATTACACATTTAGATGAAATATAGCCATTGAATATTATTAATATATAATTAGTTAATACTTCCCACGCAATGCACGGGTAGAATGAAAGAAGCCTCAACAATCATTGGTCAAATCTAAAGGTTTACCTCAAAATGATAAATAAATGACATAGAAAATAGATAAAAATGCATGGACGTTGGAAATCCACCATTATAGACCGTACATAAAATTACTTGAGTAATATATCTCTATATTTATGAATAAAAGGGAAATTACCATCAATATTGTATTTTGTTTTTTAGAAGTAAATATACATGAAGATAGAAGAACCATATGTCTAAAAATTTGCCTTAAATATATCCTTAATATGTATAGGTTGTCTTCCACAAGTCTAGGATATATAATCTAACAACTCTGGATTGCTTAACAATTGGAAGTAGATGATATATAAACTACACAGTCCTTTTGACTATCATGCAAACAATTGAAACATATTTTTATCCAAATGGCATATGGAAAGCACAAGGGAAAAAAAGACAAATAAGGAATTTACATGTTGCCTCCAAAAATTTAAAAAATACATTACAGGATGTCTGACAACATCGTTTTGTAGAAACAATGAATCACCAAAACATGCAAGTCCAATCAGCCGACTTGTGCATACCTTTTGCACACCTTACTAACTATGTTACCTAGCCACTATTCTCTTATTTACCTCCCCTCTGAGAAGAATACCAATTATGTAAAGCCCTTGCAATATAGCTGGTCAAAATTTCAACTGTGAGACCTTTATCATATTTCAAACTCCAAATCATTGATTTAATAGATTTAAATTGATTTAATAGATACTTGATTTAATTTATTTATTTATTAACCTCTTAAAAAATATATTGCTAATTCCAAGAAAGAACAAAACTATATAAGTATATCGTATGAACTAAATCCTTATTTTAAGGTCACTCACACACTTCTAATTTCACTTTTTTTCCTTGGCTGACATATGGACCAGTTCATTCCATTTTCATTCTAAAAATTGTTCTCCACCTTACATACATGGAAAGAACACAATGTCCATTACATTAGATTATGCTGTGGTCCTTTCATTATATTGAGGCAAGCTCTAATACATTCTACAATGACATGCATTCAAGGATATGAAGGATTCAGCGTACCTGCAGGTACTTTGTTCTGGTATGATGCAAGATACCTTTTATTTTGCTATCTATATGCAATATTGAGGTGCATGAGATTCACCAACCTTCGATGGGAATATGCAAAATATGGTTATCCCTTTGCATTACCAGTGTATTACCTCGAAGAATTAAGGGTACACGCTTAACAACTTCTGGTAAAGTTCCCCGAATCAGTAAGCCAACCATTGATCATTAGGGACTTCATCAATAACACATACCTTAAAGTTACTCCTCTTCTTAGAAGTGCCCAAACAAACATACAATACTCCATCGGAGATCCATCTTCATCTTTATATAGAATGGAGCAAGCTCCACCACCAACGATGATCAATGTCCCAATCAGTTCATAATTGGTGGATGAGGTGGAAACTGAACAATCATCAACTGACCAGAAAACATGGCATACTCAGTTGAAATCTCATCTTCCTTTGTTAACATAGAAGAGCAACCTTCAATGCCAGTTGAGAATGTTCTTCCAAGCACGTCACAATTAGGTGCTGAGTTGGGATTTGTCTCTGATTAGTCCAGTTTTGTGGAGTCCATTTTACACTTTAGTTTGCTATGATAGAGCTCAAGATATTTTCAACTAAATCATTGTCTTATTTTGGGTTTGTTATGGGCTTGTATTTTGAAGTTCATGTTAATATCTATTTTTCAATTTTTAATGCATTTCTCTTTAATCATGTCTGAATGCCTTCTTTTATTAGCATTTTGAATCCATATGGATAGTTAATCCTCTTCCATGATATTAATTCTCAATACCAAAATGTTTTTTTAATAGGCCCTCAAAAAGCAGGGTATTGCTATTCAATTTGCATATTAAGGGAAAGAAATTTTGACAATAAATTTAATGATTTACCACCAAATAGAACTATTTAATTTTGTACCTTAAGATTTTCCTCAAGATTTTTGAACCAACTTTGGTAGCATTTGAGTACTCTGTGAGAGAAACCCAGCTTGAAAGAATGCATCGAAATATTAAAATAGGAATGTGTATATGAATTGAGTAAATGACTAAAGCAATGGATTTTGCATTTAATAGAAGAACATATTTACCTTGACATCTCATCACAGTAGCATACTAGATGACTACATCCACCTCCTTAATGTCTTTGTAGCTCTGATATTCAGTCCAAGCCTCGACAGCACAATCACTGTGTAAGTGAAACCATATCATGTCCCCCCTTAAACATATACATACCCCAAAACAATCAGATGTGACCTCTCGTTAGGGTATTTGTTAGTTTTTAATCACAAAGGAAAACTTTCGCATAAATCGAAATAGAAAGTTAGCTCAAGATACTTTTCATCCTGTAGAGCAACCCAAAGCTCTCTGGTTGTTAGCCACGGCTCCTCTTCCACATCTACCCATTCAAGGTCTCTAACATGGACACAAATACCAGCAACATCTAGAACCATAAATAAAATTTCAAAGTCACTATCAAGAAAAGAGAACTTAAATAGTTCAAGTATCAAAAATTAAGCATAAAAACCAAAACTGACCAACTACACGGCATATAGGAAATGACAACTTCTGGAAGTCTTGAACTAAAGACCACTTCAGGTTGTGCCCTACCAAATTGGATTCATGCTCATGTATTTTAGAACTTCCATTTAACAGAATATGATATCCCGGATGAATTGGTTGACCTCCCACACAAACTGTAAAATTGTATATTTCATAGGACTTTCCCACTTGGAACTGATTCCTCATAGGTCCCCTCATAATATCGCCCTCCAAACAAATTTTCATTCGAGTTCCCTTTACAGAAGGTAAGAGACAGATGAGTTTTATAGGGTTCCCATCTTAATGAATAGTCACAGGGAAAAATTGAACAGAAAGTAAAAAAAAAATTTCGGGTGTGAAACAACTTACTTCTACATTAAACACCAGAAGTGTTATGGATGAAAGATGTTTCGGATAACCAACATCCCCATGAAAACATTCCCTTTTGGTGGTTCCATACATGCGATCAACCTTTACAAGAATACGCCAAATCATTTTACTTTGATTAATAGCACTAAGGAGGTCAAAACCTCCCTGTCCACTAGAGACGTGCATCAATGAATCCATCTCTTCTTAGAATAACGGAGCCTCTCAAAATTCCTCACGAGCTGGTAAGAGTTTCATGAGTTCATTTATAAAGAGGGGAGGCTCGAGCAATCTCAATCCTATGGAGGTTTGGGCGGCAGGAAGGGTTGGCATAAATGAATAAGAAAACAACTTAGCTGAAAAAGGAGAAAGATGCACAGTCTCCATATTCGTGTTATCTCCTCTAGAAATAGATGGTAAAGGAGTAAGAAAACAACTTAGCTAAAATTTCGATAAACAAAAAATAAGCCAGTTGAGGCAAACCTCTAGTGAAGTGGCTAAAGTTCTTTTTGAGGAAGAGAGAATTGGATGGGTATTTGGCAGGCGTTGATTGACCGAAATAATGGATAAAAAAGGATGACAGCCTTTCGAGAAGGCAGAAGAAACAAAAGGAGAAGGATAATAGCTTTGTCCAGGAGTTGATTGATCAAATCAATGAATAAAAAATGAAATTCACAATAAAGTAAGTAATTTTAATAATAACAAATAATAGACTCAAACACCTAAAATGCCCTTCCCTTGGTAAACTATTATTGGTGCACGTTTTAAAAAGCCAAAATTACCCCTAGTTACTGTTCATAAGGAGGAATTTAGTGGAAGAGATTTAAGTGATATATTGATGAATTTGTTTTCTTTTTTTAGCCTTTTCCTTCTTAAATATATATATATATATATATATATATATATATATAATGTCAAATTTAATGTGTCATCAACCATCAGCCCGCCGTAAATCTTGATTAAAATGCGAGCATATCATCCGATTATTTCACATTCCATCCGTTTTAAAACCCGCAACTTTAGATGACCAAAGATGTTTTTAGAGAAAAACACTTCATGATCTCAAGTTTGAATTCTTAATATATATCCGTGTTAAATGCTTGTTTGGAAGATTTTTGCTGCTGATGTGATTTTACCTAACTTAATCCATGAATAATGAATAATTGTATTAAAAACAAAGGAAGAATAGTAATTATTTTCAACAAATTTCTTAATAATCATGAAGTAGTTATTGTTTTCTTCTATCCCCATGCACAGATCCATACATCAGATTGATTACCAGGAAATTTGTCTATGGGGAAAATCATAAGTTAACCTTGATTTATTCATGACTATTTTCTCATTAATTCATCAGTAATATTCTTAAAATTTATAAAGAATTATTTTTTAATTTATGAGTGATGATACACAAATTTATAAAATTATCCATTTATTTACAATTAACTTTGATTAATTTATAATAATTAACTTTTATTAACTATGTCAATAATTATTTATTTTTAAATTATAAATAAAGATTTTTGGCCAAAAAATGTAAATAAAGATAAATAAAAGAGTGTGTTTCAATAATTTAAACTCTTTTAAGTGACATTAGTACCTTATGTTTGGTAATTGTAACCCCAGAAAACACACTGTCGGAGGAAGAACTAAAGAAGTGGCGGATTCCTTTTTCGTTGTCGACGAATAAGCATTCCACACCCTGCCAGACGCCGTCCACCGTTTTCATCCCTGCGTGGTTGTTTTCTGGAAAGCAGTGAAGAAGGTTCTAATTCTAGGGGTTTCCCAACATCCAGTGAGATTGATTTGCTCAATCTGGTTTTGAATCTTGACTTGAATTTGTTCCCCGCATCATCTCAATAACCGTTTGAATTTGTTCTAATTCTAGGTTATTGGGACCCAATAACCGTTTGAATATTGACGCTTTTGATTTTGGGAATATTTACAGATTCGGTTTAACTTCTTCGCAACTAGTTTTTGCTTGAATTGTGTGTAATTGGCTATTATGCTTCAGCCCTCTTTATTTTGATTACTAGTGACTGCTATGCTTTGGATTGTTTTGCAATGTTGCATTTATTGTGTATTGACATTCTGTTATTAATCTCTTTATATTACCATTAGTTTGGAAAATTCTCAAGGTGTATGATCTAGTAAATGACTTAGCTCGAGTTGTGTCAAAGTATCTGAAAACGGTATTATATCAATTATGCATATTTCAAAGCAATATAGGTCAGCTGTTGAGAGCTGAGGCCCTAAATTAAACTGGTCTAATTTGGTGGATCATATTGTTTTTTTTTTTTTTTTTTGCTTGATTGAAGATTCTGTATGGAGATAAAATAGCTTGGGGTGTTTTGCAGGGCTGTGTAATTTTGAGAGGAAGCCGTTATAAAAATGCCTTCTCTTCAAACTGCTCTGCCTCCTGAGCTGGCCAACAATGTCATTAGGGTTTTAATTGATTCTTTCTTTCTTCTATTTGAATTACCTTAGTGTTCTTTTCTTTGAATTTTTATTTAGTATTACTGATTTCTACCCTTTTTTTTTTCAGCTTTACCGTGAATGCCTACGAAGAGCTAAATATATTGGACATAGGGTATGTAAATCTCTCCCTCATTTACACCAAATTTTGCCCTAATTCTGTGGCTCCTTGTTGCTGCCTTAACAATTGAATTGCAGTGCTTTTATTGAATTCTCCATCTCCCCTTTATTCTTCTTTCCTTTTATGGGATTTTTATGGCCATGTAAAGAACTCGTCATTGCCCTTTAGCTTCTAAGTAACTGACTGTAGTTGGGAATGCGTCCTCCGTGTTCTAGTAGTGAAAACATTGTTGAAAGGGAGGCCATATTACTCTCCTCAAATCTTCTAATGCCGCAGTTGTACCTGAAGCCATGCATTGCAGTCATATCATGTTCGTAACGTGGGAATAAAGAAGTCTGAAGTTTATGAATTCCTGTGTTGTATGTCATTTGAAAGGCATTTTTATAGTGGCATGTGGCGATACTATGGTAAACTTTACGAAGAAAATGATACAGTATAAATTGCATGTCTAAATTTCGTTGCATAAGGTTCTTGAAGACATACAAGTGTTTTCCAGAAGTTGCTAGCCAAGATCTGTAAATTTGACAAGAGCTATATGCGTGACACTTCATTTGAGCATGACCATGTTTTCCTCTTAAAGGGGTCAAATTCCATCTTTTATAACCTCGCTTCTATTCACCCATTATTTTTTATCTCTACCTCTTCTAACTAGATTGGTTTTCTTGTTTCTGCGAGGAGCTTGAATTGATGGTTGTAAACAGTGCAGTTCCTTGCACTTTTACATTTTATATTGATTGATATTGATGTTGATGTTTAAAGTGTCTCTAGTGCTTGTCCTTAGTATGGTTATAGTAAGATTTGTGAAACTGATTCCAATTTTTACCTGGTTGCTGTTGCAGCAACATAACACAGAACTCCTTGTCAGTATGGTGAGGCAGCAGTTTAAGAGAAACATGCACGAGACAGATCCTGAGAAAATTCAGAAACTAAAGGATGAGTAAGCTTTTGCTTTAGTTTGTTGCATATATTCTAGTATATATTCCTGCTCCTTAGCCATTTCTTTTTTTGTTTTTGGGCGTGGGGAGGGATATATTTTGCGGTAAGAATACATGCAGTTGATACAATGCATGTCTGCATGTACAGATACGCATGATTATGCAAGTAAACATTATTCTTCTACGTGTCTTCTATTTAGAGCGCAAAATAATGTACATTTGGGGCTTTGCAGTGCTGCGAGAGGACTTATAAACCATATCCTGTACGAGTCGGAGGAAATGTCTGGTAGAAAATTCAGCCAGAACCCTAAAGTTGCTTAATCTTCTTCTTCCAATTCAGTTTGCTCATCAATTTATGGTTTTGAAAAATCATGAGTGGAGACCAACTCTTCCAACGTGTTTATGATCGAATAAATAATTGAGGAGGTGCAGTGGTCTCTTAATTACTCGCTCACATTCTAGAGCAGTGAAGTTTTAGTTAATTTTTTCGAGGCGATTCAGTTTTCATCATCAATCCTAGGTCTTGGCTATTTGGCTATTAATGAATGCAGAACCTTGCCTTCCCGAGGGTTGTTTATTGGGAGGAAAATTTGTTCCAGTTTTTTTATATTTTCTATAGGAAGTTTTTATATTTTTGTTCCCATCTGTTCCATCTTTCAAGATTGACACGTGCATCTTTGTAAGCGGAAGATTTTTACGGCGTTAAATGATTGACAATTACAGATAAAATCTTCTACCAGTCTAGTTTTTAAAAAGGGGCTTTTTCTTTTGATTTGCTTCTTGAATTACATCTCAAAGTAGGCATTCAAATACTTTTATCCAAACTAAATCGCCTCTTCAAAAAAATGAAAACTAGATTTGGCCATCCCAAGGGCTAAAGATAAACAGAGTCTATGCTATTTTGATTAAAAGACATTTGACCAGCTATTGAGACTGAATATTTTAAGGATCAACATCAAATTGGTTGGATTAGTGATTATATGATTTGACAAAATGTGTATCGGTTGTAGTATTAAAGCCAAATCTCATTTCTACCATCAATTTAGGTGAATGAATGCTGTAATGTTCAGCATACACATTTGTAAGCATGCATGCATTTGTTACTTGTGCGCGCGCGAGAATTTTGTAAGAAAAAGTTCTGAAATTCCAGTTATTGTTTCAATTGACTCAATTAACTAAAAAATTCACACATTAGATCCCTTATAATCCAATTTATAAAAAAATTAAAAAATTAATAGAATAATTCATTTACGTCAAAATATTAGCTTCCCCACTTGAATTACCTCGAACACTATTTGGCATTGTGCTGGCTGGAATTGGGTACCAAGAAAAACTTCAAGAGAAAATGGAATATTAGGGTCACTACATGTCTCCAAAATGATAAAAAGAAACAGAAATATTTACAGTGTCACCTCCTTTCACACAAGCTCCTCACACGCTGCACAACACGGACAAATTCATAAAACAAGGAAAAATCGAAAGCGATGTGAGTCTGACCTCCCTGGCTTTTAGGGCTTGAGCAAGAGGATGGGTTCTGACAAATGACCAGGTCAATACCACCAAATTTTTTGATCATACCGTCAAGCCTGCTACTTGTGAGCTTTTGAACTTCTTCGATCTGAACCAACTCCCCCTTTTGCCCAGAAGTCTGCCACCACCTCTTCAGAACCTTCCTCTTAGCCTCAGAACTCTCAATTGACACAACATTCTTTATCTTGATCCCTAGACGATGAAGAGCAACTTCTGCCCCACCAATCCCACTGAAAATTGACAACAGCGTCAATCCATCAGGAAACATGGCCTTCAACGTTGAAAGATGGTAACCCAACGTGTCTGTCTGAAAGCAGTATTTTAGTAGATTGAGTCTATCTCTCAAACTAATATCAGGAATACGGGTATGATGCAATGGATAGCCTAAGATAACCTCCAAATGTTCAGGCTCCATGGGGCCCAGTTTGTTCTTGCCAACCCACACAAGATTTAGCGAATGGCAATGATGTAGGATGTCTTGCTTCTGTTCAGATGTGAGAGTTCCAATAGAATTAGCTAGGGTCCGTCCTAATCTATCACAATGTTGAGCTATTCCACTGGTTTCACAACTAATGCAGCTCAACTGCTTCCTTGGATCCCAAGATGGCCACCATTTCTTTATATGCGGTATTGCATCTGCAATAGTCATAGGTGGCATGGGGACGATGCGGAATCTGTTTTCAGTTGGAAGATTGTGTACATATCCTTCTCTTCTACTCACGGCTGAAAAGAACTGAGTATTCACAAATTCAGGTTCAAGAGCATACAAGAACTGAGAAATCTTTCCCCATGAGTCATAAGATATACTAGCTATGTTTCCATACAAGAAATATGGAGGTTTTGCTGCTACTATGTTAAGACACCTGGATGGATTTGGTTTGTAAAGCTTGGGCAGTCCACCAGTGTCAATATTAACTTTCTCTTCCACCCAATCAGGATCAAGAGGAGAGGTCGAGACATCATAATGTTCCTGCTTTGGCCTTTTACCAACATTATTTTCCTCGAAGTTGGAATACTCCATGCTAGAATTAGCAACAGGAAATTCACCAGCATACTCATCCTTCACCCTTTTACCACGATAAGGTTCCTCTAAGTTGACATCCCTTGACTGCAAAGGTTCGTGGCCAAAATTCTCTGTTTTCACTTCTTCTGTGCCATTTAACTCTTTTTTGATCCTCGTAGAACATGAACTAGAAGCAGGGGGATACTAGACAAACAAGAAATTCCATCATTTCGGGACTAACTGAATAGTAAATAAATTATTACAGTACCATGATGGTCAGCATAAAACAAACCAGTCTTTCATAAAAGTCTCACTTGGCAAAATTTCAATTCTATCTAGTGCGGAGCAATTAAGAAACAGCTATGCAAGTTTGATTCAACAAAATAATGTGTCAAGAGGCATGAAGAATTTAGAAGGTTTTCAAAGCTAAGAAAAGGAATATCCTTTCAAGAAATTATCTAGGAAAATCTTGTAGGTTAAGTGAATACAAAGTAAAGAGAATAAATATCTTTTTTTCTAGTTAGAATATCAGTATAGGTCAAGGGGTGAATACTACACCATTGTTGGATACTACCATTATTGGATATATCAATCAAATATTTTGTTTGAAGGTAGAAAAATAGTGTTTTTTTCTTAAGACTAAAATCTGATGCTATAAAGTACTAAGAAAGATGAATTAACTGTGAAAAGTAAAAAATTAAAGAAATATGAAAAGTAGGATATAGTATTAACCTTACACACAACATAATTGATGCCATTTTGCTCTGCTACAATACAGTTCGCAAGCTCTAATATAGGAGCCTCAGTACCTGAGATAGCTAATTAGTACATGAAAGATACAGAAGTAAAAGCAAAGTGTAGGCCTTTTGAAACCGAAAAAAATATAAAAGCATGCACATGACATTTCTAAATTCAAATGCGAAAGAAGATGGAGAAAATGATCAAGTAAATAGAGCGCAAATAAAACATAGAAGAACTAAATGATCGCTCTAATTTATAGAAGGCATTGCTACAGCAGATACTGTCAGTCAACCATCTACCCCAAAGGTGTTATCCCATAACCCAAAAAAAAAAAAAAACCAGTAAAAGCCTTCCAAAGGAAAGACTGTAAACATAACCTCAATCACTGGAGTTTGCAGAGATAAATAATTACAATTGTTTCTCACCTAGTTTTTCAATTGCTGATGACACTTCACGCTCAGAGAAGCCCATTTCAAGTAGCTTAAGTGTTTTTTCCATGGTCCCAAACAGTTTTTCATTATTTACCTGAGATCCAACGTTTAATAATCATTATCAGATGCATGTATAAGACATAGGATAATGAAAATAGACACGGAACAACTAGGTGTTTTTTTTTTCCTGTCTAGGTTGGACTTTAAGAATAAATTTAAATTAGCCAAATAAAAAAAACCCGTAGAAAGACCATTCAAGTGTATCAAGTATGAAGACCTCATTTTTTGTGTAAATAATGGCAACATCATCTTTTTCCTTTTCAATATTCTTGGCAATCTGAGCGGCAACTATAACATCCACCAGCTTATGAATTGGAGCGTTATCACCTAACACAATAACAAAGCAAGAAATCCACACACATATAAGTAACAACAAAATATTTAGGAAAAATTAATCATTTGGTTATAGTAATTTTGACTTAGTTGTAATTCAATGCCTGAACTTTGATTCATTATAACTTAGTTCTTGAAGTTTTGACTTCATTATAAATCTGTCCCTGAACTTCCCCTCTACAATTTAGCTCCTAATGTTTCAACCTCTTAAATATTGATTCTTGTATTTTAAAAAATAAAATTATAAAGATTAAAAATATTTTAAAATTTATTACTAATATTTTAAATTATTAAACCCTTTTAATCTTTATAAATATTAAAATTTTAAAAATATTTTTAATCTTTATAATTTTATTTCTTAAAATACAGGGACCAATATTTAAGAGGTTGAAACTTCAGGGACTAAATTGTAAAAGACAAAGTTCAGGAATTGATTTATAACCGAGTCAAAATTTCAAGAACTGAGTTATAATGAGTCAAAGTTGAGAGACTGAGTTATAACTGGGTCAAAACTACAAGGACTAAATGATTAATTTTTTCAAATATTTATCATTAAAGATTACCAATAACACATAAAGCTTGTAAAGAAAGAGGGGCTAAAGAAGTTCATCTATCGCAGATTATAGAATTATTTAATCAAGTCAATCCTAGCTGTCTTGCAAAGGTAGAGACTTACATATGACTTTCATTGATTTGAAAAAAACTTATGATCGTGCGTCGAGAGAAGTACTTTGGAAGGCATTGAAAAAGAAGAGTGTCTGGGTTGCCTATATTCGAGCTATACAAAACATATGTGAGGAGGCAACATATAAGAACGTTTGGCAGCAAAACAAGACTTCCTAATAAAGATTGGACTGCATTAGAGATAATCTTTGAGCCCTTATTTGTTTGATCTAGTCTTAGATGTTTTGACTGAGCATATTCAAGAGGAAATTCCTAAATGTATGTTTTTTCGCGGATGATATAGTTTTTATTGCAGAGACAAGAGAAGATATTAATTGTAAACTTAAGTTATGGAGGAAGAAGTTGGAATCACAAGGTTTCCACCTGAGTAGGAGTAAAATGGAATAACTCCATTATAATTTTGATAAGAGATCAGCGAATAGTAATTTGGGAACTAAAATTGGGTGATTAAATCATATCTCAAGTGAAAAAGTGTAGATATTTGGGAGCGATTATTCAACATAATGGAGAAATTGATGGAGATATACCACGTAGGATACAAACTGGGTGGTTTAATTGAAGAAAGGCTAAAGGAGTTATCTACGATCGCAAAGTACCAAATAAACTTAAAGGAAAGTTTTATTGAACTACTATAAGACTAGCAATATTATATGATAGTGAATGTTGGACTTTAACAACACAACAAGAGTATATATTGGAGTAGTAGAGATAAAAATATTAAGATGGACGTGTGGATATACATATAAAGACAGAATCCAAAATGAGCTAATACGAGAAAAAGTAGGCATCGCACCTATTAAAGAAAAAAATGATAGAAAATCGTTTAAAGTGATTTAAACATGTACAAAAAAGATCACGGGAGGCACTTGTGAGGAGAGTGGAATAGATGACTTTGAGCCCTGTTACGAAAGGTAGAGGAAAGTCAAAAAGAATGTTTTGGAAATTATTGAATGAGACCTTTTAATTAACAGTATTTTTAAATATTTAATAAATGATAAAGCACAATGACATCATATAATCCATGTAGCCAGCCCTACCTAGTGGGATAAGGCTTGTTGTTGTTGTTATATCCTAGCTGTCTTGCAATCCCAAAATCCATCTCATGTTGTATACAATGTAATTTCCATCTATGCTTCGTGGCTTTCAATTGCCATATTTTCTTTGACTAATCCACTGGGACAAAAAAAACCCCAAAACCTCACACTAACCCATTGAAATGTTTGAATAAATGGTATGAAGTGCTCCTTGGCTATGGTGCTTGGCAAATGGTTACTTGAGACAGGTTTCTATGATGGATGTGTGAAAAGGTTGGTAAGATTTGCATTTGCAGATCAGATGCTGTTTAATTGCTCACTCAGGATTTTTTTTTTCCCACGTAAGACGGTATCTTGTCCTTTAATCTTGTTCCTATTTCTCCATTGTCTCAATTTTTTTTTTTTAAGATTTATCAGAGTTCTGTGTCACCTCCTCAACATATGTTTACAGCCTGGTTAAGATAGCATAAGCAGAAAAAAATTTATATGCAGTGATAAAATGAGAAAATCTATATTGATCATACAGAAGCAGCAGCAAAATGTGACAGATCTACAAACACATACCAAGCTTTTGCATTGCAAAATCTACTTCTTTCACGGGGAAGTTCATCCTCAGTAAAGATGCTCTTCTATCATCATTAACCTCACAAAGCTCACCAGGCTCCTGTGATAGAAGTCCATTATTGGTATATAAAAGATGGAAGAAGGATTTAAGTCAAAATACAGCGATGAAATTAGTTGATAAGGGAGTTATTCATGCTGAATAACTACTTCTTATGTGCTTTCAGTATTTTAATAGTTGATAAGGGAGTTATTTATGCTGAATAACTACTTCTTATGTGCTGTCAGTATTTTAATATTGCAGTTTATGTTTCTTGTCTTAGGAATGCTGAGTTGTCAAGTTTTAGGATGTCAGTTTGTGTGTGCTGTCAAGTTACAGTTGTAACTGCCACTTCATGGTGTTATTTAATTGTAAGTTAATTGAGGAATGGATATGGATGATTTCTGACTCTTTATTTGGAGATTCTCCCTCCTGGCTTTATCTAATTTGAATGAGATCCTTGTCCAGATTTAGATAAAGATTAACTTCCCTATTTTGTTATTAAGACTTAACTTCCTGCAGGAGAGATTATGCCTAGTAGAATCAAGTTGAAATACAAGGAATAGATGGCATATCAAGACAGGTGATAAAAGAGTAAAATGTAGAGCCAAGTGAATCTAGATTTTTAAAAGAAAAATAATTTTGGGCCAGTGACAGATGCAATAATACAGATGAAAGTAGCAGGGTGAAGTATATGCTGCTAAGTCAATAGCAATCAAGCGTGTGAATGTCATATTTATTGATGTTTTGGGATCTTTGAATAATGTGATCTTGCATAAGCTGGGCCTTTTAGAACTAAACTGAATAAATTAATGTCAAATATATTGGAGAATTTATCAAGTCTACCAAGGCTTGTGGTCACTTTTCTGTTGTTGGGCTCTCACGATGCACTTAGATAATCTATTTTGATAATTCAGCTTGTGAGGGCATTGACCACAATGGGCAGGATTGCTTGTTATTGAAACACAAAGAGGTCCATACTCTCACCACATATTCATTTTCATTTTGCCCCATTCAGAGATTTAGAACATCAAATCTTGATTTGCATAGCTATGATAGTAGTAAAAACTGTGATTAATGTTACCAAGTAGCTACTAGCATTACTGGGCAACTGTCTCACCTTTGGCAACTATAATGGTTATCCCCTCATGCCTAACGTGGCTTTGAGAAATTACAAGGAAATGGAATTGCATTCTTACTGGTAGTTATGTCTGTTGGTGTAGCTGTAGAGACTTGAATCTCAGCATTTGAAGGAGCTAGTTTGCATATTTTTGGCAATCTATGGTACAATATTGATTACTAAATTGGTCATTGGATCTATTCACATATATGCTAATTAGATGAGCTTCAACTCTCATTTGTCATTTTGTTAAATTGGTTCTACAGACTCAAGAAAAGATGCAAGAAAATCCCAAAAGTAATGACAGTTATCAGTAAATCTGACGATGATGTAGAAGTACACCAGAATAATAATAAAAAAATTAAACCATTGTATGATCGGAAATTTAATGGAATAATTTGAATATTTATTAGCTATTCTAGCTGCAAGAACTAACTTAGTGTTTGGGAGTTTTTTGGAATGGAATGCAGTGGGATGGCTAGAAGCTTTTTACCATTGTTTGGGGGAATCTTTTAAAAAGGGGTGGAATGGCTTAAGATGACCTTCAAAGACATTGTAAATCTATTTTTTCCTAGCCCCCAAATTTAGGGGATCAAGGATGGAATGGCTTGTTATAAACAACACTACTACAAAATTACCCCCATCCTTCTCATCCCCTCTCACTCTTTCACTTCCTCCCACTCTAGAACTAGAAAAACAAAATTATAACTAAATTCAAATATTTAATTTTATAATAATTCCCAAATAGTGATTAAATAAAATTGTTCATTCTCCCAAAAAAAAAAACTCCCAAAAAATGGAATGGAATGAATATTTAATCTCATTCCACTTCACTTCATTCCATTAATAACCATTCCATTCAATCCTAAACTCTCAAACACACCCAGGATACTTGATATGCACGTGTGCGACAGGTATGTTTAAAAAGGTGTATTTCAGCAAGAGAAAAGGAAACTTTAATGAGGCATGTTTCAGTCAGAAAAATTATGCTTATTTCATCAGGAAGGATTGTTAACAAGGTTAGGATAAGATAGGAAAATTTTCAGAGGTCAATGAACACAAACACATACTCATTCTCATGCACGCCCACATAAAAGGAAATTCAACAAGTTTTCTTCTTAGGAACAACATAGTATCTTTGATAGATTAGATCTATCCATGTATCAGAAAGAGAGCTTTAGCCATGGCAAGGTACACTAGCTAACGGTACAATGGTCAACCAAATATGACAGCATGAACTAGAGAAATAATAAATAACTTTTTCTTTCTTGAGATCCAAAACGGATATTGAACAAAGCTACTGTAATGATGCGGCCCTAACTAGTATTGGTAACAAGCCAACCTACACTCCATTGATAGAGTTTCATTCAAATGCTTCATAAGAGAAGCAGAAGCATCCAACAAATTATTGCCACCACAGTAATGAGGAAAGCAACTAAATAAAAGAGGCAAATACCTCTTTTGGATTAATGCCAGTGGAAATTTCCGGAGTATCCTTATCATCAAATAAGCTATCCAGAGAATCAGAAGATTGCGAATTAGATTTTTCAAGAGCCTGTGTAATTACAAGGCAAATTGAATAGTAGTCATTAACAAAAGAGAAAAAATGATATTAGTCAAAACTTTTAAGTCATCCATTTCCTAATAATTAATCCATCAAAATACAACAAAAAACCAAGTTTTCCTTGAAGTATTTCTTGATAGAAAAGGAAATTTTAATAGGTGCGATATTGAACCCATAATTATCAGCATATCTGTCGGCACTGAGCAGTAATTAACAACTCTCAGCACAACGGAACCACAGGAGACAATACGGCTTTTATCACTATCTATAGTTTATAATTATAGTTATAACTGTCTTCACTCCCCACCACATGGCAAACAATACATGCAAAGTGGTTTACTTACAGAATATGCAAAGAGAGTCTCCAATAACTGGTCAGCATTACCCTCACCTATAAATTTGAAATAAAGTGTTTATTTTTGTTAATTTCAAAGATGTTTAACCAATCAGAATCTGTACGGAAATTGCATTGGCATACTGAAATGCATAAGATGTCCATGCACTTGGTACAGATAAGAGCATCTTGCTCAAGCATAAAGTACCATTTTCCTTAATCACTTTATCAACAAGACATGGTAGGAATCCCATTCCAATGAAGAATTCTCTTATATTGCCTCCAGATGAACTTGCAACGTTGTCCTGGTTTTTGCAAGACAGACGTTAAACATACATAAATTGAAGAAACAATGCACAGCAAGTCTATACACTGACATCATAAAAAAGTTCAGAGACAAGTTCAGGTAAAAAGAAGAGGAAATGTCTACATCTCATTAATGTTTAAGCCCTATCGTAGATACAATAATATATTAATTTCTATGGGCGACTACAAGAGCCTAAATCTTGGGCCCATCTACCTTATTATCTAATTTTATTTCTTTATCTATTTAATTATCTTCTGTTCATATATTTAGAGATTTGACATAATGATTTTATTTTGCTCCTTGATTATCAGGATTGATTTGCTGGCTTGTGGCCTCTATTCCCATCTGTTTCTAGCTGGTTCAGAGCGATATGGAACAAGAAAACCAATTTCCTATTTTCTTCAATTTCCATAAAGATGAGAGACCACTGCCTCTTGTAGAACTTATGAGAAGAAAATACCAAAATTATTTAAAATGCCACCCAATCTCAACAATTGATTTTGTACAAGCAAATGCATCTCTAGTTGAATATTCCATTTTCAATATATCATTTTCTTTGGAGAAACAGATGAACTCTTTTTAAATTTTCACAATATTATCAAGCTCAACATCAAGCAACTAAAAGTAAAGCTCAAAAATTGATCAACTAAAGACACATGAGGGATAGAATATCACAAACTGCATAAAGAAAATACAAAATCACTAAGTATGCTTGTCTTATTATGTGTCTGTGTTGAAAGTCTGCAACATACCCCAACATCCCTTGGGCAGGTCGTATAAGATGGCAATTCATAATCCAAGACTTCGGTCTTTGGAATCACCACCCGTTTTCCTTCCATGTCAGAGGAACAATATCGAATCAAATTTCCTACCACCTCACCTGCAGAATTAAGCATTAAACTATAACTGCATATGTACTCCATCTTAAGTTAATGCATGACCTGTAAAAGTCATTCAGAAAAGATTGCCATTGGAAAATCTAAAGGGACACTATCTGAGACAACAAGATATTAAGCAGATTTGCCCTTTTCTAACACTCTAAGTGAGCTGTGATTCTGTGAATAGCACAACAGTAAGAAATAATATGCCTGGGGGAAGTTCCTCTTGTACAAAAGTCAGTTGTGCAATGGAAAAACAACACATTAACAATGTCCCCTTTTGTTATGCTAAATATACTTTTCCAAACATAAGAATCATCACCCCCGTAAATGTTTCCAGAGTCACATCCCAAGAATTTGGTAGGCAACTAGGCATTCGATAAGCATTCTCGTGACTGCAATCAACTTCAACTCCATGACGTTGTATCACAACCTTCATGACCAAGCAATGAGTAATTCAATTCTTGCCTCTCCCGTTATTAAATAAAAATCCTGGACAAAAGTGATAAGCCTAATCTTCTCATCAACACCAAAGGACTTTGGCGTGAAAGCACGTGAAAGACATATATACAATTCTCCGGCATGCAAGGCTGCACCTCACAACTTAATCCTGTTCTATAATAACTAGTCCTCAATAGTAGGTATTCGGTCACATGTTAAAATCGTCGGTCCAAATTCAAATTACGCATCACCTGTCCACCAACTTGAAGAGTAAAGTCTATAAATTTAAAGCAAAGTGCCAAATTAAAATACTTTAAAGTATCAAGCTTGAGAATAACCCAGCCCATTGAATAATTGGCGAAGCCAATAATTGTCCCAATGGAAAAATATTTCGATTCTCTTTACTTCCAATAAATGTTTAAGAGAATTCAAAACCAAGAAAACCATTTCGCGTTATACCTTTCTTCAGACCGGCATCCAATCAGGCGGAGTGGGAGTTGGGAGCCTGCAAATGAAAGAGAAAAATCAGAGAGTCGAATGTGAATCCCTCGTGGCGAGACTCACACATTCAGAAGTGCAACGGGACATGCATGATCGTCGCTTGAAGAAAAGAGTACTTCTGACCTACAGCGCGAAAGCTCGCTCCGCAGCGAGGAGCCCGCCTGCGGACTTTGGATCGGCGTTCAACAGCTTAAAACGTCGTTTCAAAGCTATAAACCGCCGTTCAAATAATTTGAAAACAAACAAAATAACCCCTTGGGTTAATCGCGTTCTACCTCAAATCGGCGTTCCAGGAGAAGCTGCGGAGACGTTCTGCGTCTGCGTTCTCAGTTGACAGTGATAATTAGAAAATTGAACATCTTAAGTACCCAAAATACCCTCATCTCCTTTCCTTCGCGTCTGTGGCTTCTCCCTTCCTCTGTTTTGGGTTACTCTCTCGGTTTCTCCCTTCTTTCCTAGTTCGCTTGGTCGATCTGCCTCATCTGTTATATTTTGCTATTGACTATTGTCTGTTGACTTTTCTTTTTGGTCGAAACTATTCTCTGTTCACTGGCGACTACTAGTTCTTGTGTGAGGTACAAGTGTCCAGTTTTCTCTACATAGCCATGCAGGCTGCAGCACCAGGGAAATCTGTCGTATACAATCGCTACTCGATATCCAACGGTTACCTATTCTGAGTTACGCGTCGCACGACCTTATCTCAGGATCAGGAACAGGAGCCTTCATGAGTTATGAGATCAGTGATCGTCCAAAACTAAAAAGCCTATTGATCGTATTACTGATTAAATGATTCCTTTTGAGGTAGGGGGGAAACTAAAAACTTTATTATATTTCATAAAATAAAAAGACTCAAGTGGGATAGAAGTAAAATGAGATATGTATCGTGTACAGTGAAAATCGTGTTGTGGATGGGAGGTGGAAAAATTTGACAGTAAATTTTTATAATAAAAAATAGATGTATAAAAAAGTTTTTCACTTATAAATGCACAATCACAATTTATCCAAAGTAAAGATTTATATAAAAAAAATATAATACTTTTAATAAGTCTATTAATAACTAATTTAGTTAATACAGATTTTATACGAAAAGTTTTGTTTAATATTAATTTTTTTAAGAAATTAATTATTCAGATATACTCTGAATAGTTTGAATTTAATTTTGATTTATATTTAAAATTTTTAACTTATAATTTTTTTAATTTTTTTTGGAAAGTGATAGAAATATTACCTTTATTTTTAATATTATATTTATCAAAAATAAAAAAAATTACAAGAATTATAAAAAATTTTAATATTAGCTATAAATTATTTAGACTCCAAAGTATATTTGAATAGTCAATTTATAAAAATAAAAAAATTAATATTAAACAAGACCTTCCGGATAAAATTTATATTATTTAGATTAGTTATTAACAAGCTTATTAAAAATATTATCTTTTTTATAAATCTTTACGTTAGATAAATTGTGATTATTTGTTTACAAATGAAGAGCCTTTTTATACACTTATTTCTCATTAGCCATTATATAAAAATTCATGGTCAAATTTTTCCACCTCTTATCTACTGCACAATTTCCCACTGCACATGATCCATGTCCTATGAAATGAGGGTTGTATTTTAAAAAAAAAAAAAACACACACACACACACTTTGTTGTCACATAACTAGCCTTATTTTACATTTAACATCAAGAAATCTATCGTATTTTTGTTTTTACATAGTTAATGACTTGATGAGTTGATGTTGTCTTCAACTTATCTTTGAAAAAAAAAACTGAAATGCTTTCTAAGTTAATTATGATTAGTTGTGATAAATTGATTATTATAATTATAATTGTAAGAAATATGCGTGGATATTTTATAATAAGCAAAGGAATTGTAAAATTATAAAATAACCATCGTGTGAAAAAATAGTATCTTACTTTTTGTAGAATGAGAAGATAATTTAAGAGAAAAATTGCTTAAAAAGACATGACCAGCATATGTATTCCTTAAAAGCACTTAGGATATTAGGTCTTTTGCTGGCAATAATTTTAGGGGTAAACGATCGTTAATGGTGGGGGGAAAAAGGTTGAGCACGGTCCTTTGCTATCAATATGTCACTCAAGGTCATTTGGTGACAATTTATTAAGCACTAAAGCACAAAGTCTTTCAATGTTACTATATTAAACAAGGTCATTTAATGTCAATATGTCATATAAGGTCCTTCAATGACAATGTGTTTGCACCTAATGTGTATTTACAGATGTTTCTTGCATATAGCGAAAGACTCTTACATATGATAGAAGAAACATTACATATTGTGGAAGAAATTTGCCCCTACAAAAAAGTATTGCATTTGATAAGAAAGTATTACATATCATGGAAAAAATTTACATTTGTAAGAGAGTGTTGCATATGATGGCAGAAATATTATATATTGTGAAAGAAATAAGTATCTGTGGGGAAATATCGCATATGATAAGAGAGTGGTTGCATATAACAGCAGAAATGTTGCATATCATGAAAGAAATTTGCATATGTGAGAGAATGTTGCATATGTGGAAGAGTATTGTATATGACGGGAAAGTATTGCATATAATGGAAAAAACATTGCATATTATGAAAGAAATGTACATTTATGAGAGTATTGCATATGATGAGAAAAATCTTGCATATCAAGGAAGCTTATTTTATATGAAACAAAAAGAATCATAGCCTTTGTTTCTTCAATTTTATGAAACTGCAAATAGATATCCTAACAATTTTCTAAATTTTCATGAAAATGCAAATAAATATTCTAAACAAACATAGATAAAAAGGAATCATGCTCTCTATTTCTTCAATTTTCATGAAATATAAATGGATATTCTAAAAATTTTCTTATTTTCCATAAATATTCTGAAAAAACATACACAAAAAGAAACCACAACTCCTAACTATATCAATTTCATGAAAAAATTATATCATATCTTAAAAATGTATTTAGCATGACAAATATACTCATACAAATTGGAAAAAATTTAATGGAGTGACAACTAGATATTAACATCATATCATGGATCAATTTTTTACATTGAGCATTAAGTCTAAAAGAAACACTATACAATAATAACAACGCTTTCTATACAAAAACGTTCCAACTACATTACAAGAAGTAATCTCTATGAAATGTTATTTATAAAAGAAGTGGATGATTTTGCTCAACTTCTTTTGCTTTAGTTTGATGATTTTGTTTAATGGGATTCTCTTTAGAATCTTCTTCTAGTTCTTCACATGATCCATCTTTTTCACATTCTACTTTGATCACTTCATTAAAAAGATGCAAGGACTAAACAATGGCCATGAAATTATTCTCTAACTATACAAACAAAAGCCATATTCATTGGTGTTAGATAGTAACAAGCAGTCACAACTTTCTTATTGAGTCTTTTATTCTTTTTGAGGGGATTATTAAAAAAATTAATTCTCAAACCACATATTTCAATGAGAAAAACTAAAAAGAGCATGAAATAATTAGAAAAATAGTGCCATTAGTTTGAGCAAGTATAAACATAATCTTTGTCTACATAACATGTAATATAGCTTTGTGACTTAACATGGAATAAAAAGGACTCAACATGTTGCATTAATGTTTATTTAAATATAGTTTTGTGAAATAAAATGGAATACCTCAAAGGAAATGAAAAGCAAAACATCAATTAGGAAGAAGTAGGCATCCAACTTGGCAAAATTATTAAGGTTGACAAAAAAAAATTTTAAGGAGTTGATCCAACTTGTATTTAATGATGATTCTAAAAAATTAAAGGTTTACGCAAACGGCCATAATCAAAATTTTCAACAAACTAAAATTGCAAAATCCAAGGCCAAGTCTATACTCATGTCAAAGAATATCACCTTGTCAATTGTTAGTTAGGCCATTTTGCCACTATTTCTTTAATATGAAGGCAAGCAAATTACAAAATTGAAAGCAAGAACCAAACCTAACAACAAATCACCAAACAACCCTAAATTTCATAAATGTATACAGCCACAATATGCTATTGGACACTTTCCTCCATAAAAAAAATCTATTATTAGACACTTTTAAGAGCTTAACTAATGAGTTAGTTCTTTTGCAGCAGAGGTTTAGCCAATGAATTCAGATAGGATAAAGAATAACTCCTATTCCTTTAGGAAATCATAAAAACTTTACCAAAAAGCAAATAATGATGATCAAATACAGCTGTGGCGTACAATGGCTCAAGTCATGTATGAATTCTTTATTAAAGCTATGCAAAACAAAGAGATCATTGAAACATTCAAGACATACAATGTGTAACATTCTAAATTTTTACCCTTCACTTTAACTAGGTTAACAACATTTTGAGAGATTAAGGGTATTTAAATGCCTTAGAGAAAAATTTATAATCAATTAAGGCTTAAAAGGAGATAAGAAATAACCTGTCTTTATAATTAAATATTTTCAAAAGGCAAATGATAATATTTTTGAGTAATTCTTTTTGCATTAGAAAGTAGACACCTCAAGCTTTGTATAGAGTTCTAATTTATAATTTTTTTGAAGATGTGTGAAATTAGTTATGAATTTTTAAATTTAGGGCAATAAAATTATATCGTTGGCCACTGCCAATAGCACTTGTAAGAGGTTTAGGGATGACAGTGAGAATTAAAGTTTGTTTGTGAAACAAACACATGAAATTGATTTTTAAGAGGTTTGGGGGTGATTTTTAAAGAGCTTTGCTAGGTGATTAGAATAGTTGCCTGTCTCTCAAAATAGTTCTAATTTTAACATTAATGTAGTAAAAGCTCAACCTTAGATCATTTTCCTAGTGAGTGGCTCAAGTTAATTGGGAGGTTACCTAGTAAACAAATTACCCAATTATTTGAGAGTGATTTCTAGCAACCTACTAAACAAGTAACAAAAATCCAGACTAAAGCAAGTAAAGTGAAAATGTCCTTATAAATGATTAGAACCCAAGAGTTTGGCTAATGAAGGAATCCTTTTCTTCTCATTAATTAAGCCATTTCGTGCTTACAAAACCCCTCTTGACTGAAATGTAGTACACCTAAGACAACTATTCTAAGCTACTTAGCCTATCTAGTTCAATTTCATGAGTCTTAAACTAAAGTCCTTAGGTGATTACATAGTTAGTTTCAAGTATTGATCAAGTATGTAAATAAATTTTCCCTTAAGAGTCTTGGCCAAATTGTGAAAGTGAGAAAGCCATAAAACTATGAAAAGCTCCCTCAAATGTCAAGCAAACACTTCACAAGACTATATAAAATTAATGCAAGACAATCACCAATTAAAAACACAATACCATGTATAATTCCAGTAGTGGCTAAATCAAACTAAGAAATAATTAAGAGATAAATTAATTTCACAAGCTCGTTCTCTTTATACAAGTAATCAATTCAAACTATAATTACATAGCTATGATGATCAAATCCTAAATCAAGGATTCTAATCCTTTATCTTCCTCCCTCTAGAATTCTTTCAAGATGCCTAGCCTCTCATTTTCATCTTAATGAGCCCAATGATTGGCTTGAGTTTGTCAAATCTATTTGCCATTCTAATGGAGATTTGAAGCCTTAGAACCTTGAAAAATTGGAAGGGATTAATTGAACTTGATGAGAGGAGGAGAATAGTATGTGATTTTAGTAAGTTTGTGAGTGATTTATGTGAGATTAAGGGGTTAGCTAAGT